ACTATTAGTGCAGCATCTTTTCACCAAACTTGAGTATTTTTTACTAGTAGAAGAAGCTGAGAAAGCAATATTACTAAAAGTTAAAATGATAATAATAAGCATGAAATTGTGAATTTTCATGATGATTTTGAAGTATTTGAAGGATTAATATCAGAAATTTTTTATAATATGTAAATTTTATAAACAAATTCTTGTGAGTATGTAGCTTAAAGACATGTATTTATAAGCAAATAGATTAGAGTTATAATTGAAATTATTTGATGGAATGGCTGTCTCTTGACAATGTCTAAATTTTATATAGTTTTGTTTAAATAACAGGCTTACTAGGCTTAAACTTATATTGCTTGCTAGAGATTCTCATAAAGAACATTACATCCTTTAAAGCTACTCAAATGCTGTAATAAATATTTGCAATCAATTACACCATTACAAATCCTAAATAGTGTATAATCAGTTAGAAAAAAAATCTAAGATATTGTTATCCAGAGTGTTAACGAAGGATTATATAATGTAATGACTTAATAAATTTATTTTAACTCCCATTTTTGTCCTTGTCACAATCATCAATTTATTTTCCTTTTTTGAAAATACATCATGATTATGTAAAGTAAACTAAAAATAAACTAAAAATAAAAATAAAAAAATAAAACAATCCCCCTGTACTAAAAGCAAAAATATGTAAGATCATATAATACTTATGTTAAAAGTCACGTAATACTAGTATAAATCATGTAATATAATTATAGATCACGTAACCTTTCACTAAATAATGAAAAACAAAAAATTTTTTTTGCAAGAAATTTAGATCATTTCTATTTTGGCTAGTCTTTTTTCTTCTGTTATTTATTCTTTTAACCTTTTACAATTTTTTATGCGCTCAATTCTACTAAAATTAAACTGCTTGAAAATAATATCATTGAGAGAATGAACATGGAAAATTGTTACAAATGACAAATCAGCAGCGAATTCCCTTTGGCCAAAATCTATAACTACTTTCAATAAAGTTAGACTTTACAATTTATGAGCTGTAATAGCCAACAAAAGAGAAAGTAGAAGTTGTAGTTAAGAGCAAATATCAGATTTGCCTTCCTATATGTGTTGTATAGAAATAATAGGTATAACCAAAATTTTATCTATATTTATAAGAGTTGGGCCATGATATTGGTCAAATGAAACTAAAATAGCAGTTAGTAATTATATGTGCTTAGGTTTTCTTGTATAATATATCTGTTATTTCTATTGCATTATTTACAAGACTAGTAGCAATCTAGAATTCAAGATAAGCATTATATGTGTATTTCTGGCTAACAATATTTCAGATTCAAGACCTTTTGCTGCATCTAAATCAGCCTTTGAAGCTTCAGTGCTACTTATATGAACTGCTCAAATCCTAGCAACAGGTTAGTTTAATGACCCAAGTTTATTAGCATTAATTCTATTAATTTCTTCCTATGTTATAAAAATATTGATAGTATTTGAAGATTTTTTCATTCTGGTTCTAACAGTTTTTCTGAGATTTGCATCATCAACAATTTTCAATCAGATTGTATAGATTTTCTATTACATAAATAAGACAAAAGATTTCTGAATTGGTATTGTTTATCTGAATTACCAATTTGTCATTGTACAGCTTCAAGTTTATAAACTTCTTGTAATTAGCTATAGGTATTACATTTATTTTCAGATATAGAATCAGATAGTTGATAATCCTAAAAATACATGGAAAGATTATACACTAGAGGAAGTTGTCTGAAGTTGCTGACAAGGATTATAAATCGATCACTAAAGTGTTAATTAGAATAATCTGAAAATGCTTGATGCAGTCTCAAATCAATTAGAGCAGGAAAGTGACAGCCTACTATGCTCATTTTATTGATGATAATATATTGAATATCTTTTATTCTATTTTGTAATTTTTTCAAAGATTCACCTTTAAGCTTATAATTTGTGTCATATATTGGAATAGAAAGTGAAAAATGGATAGTTCTACCTTGAATATTAAATGCTGCAAAACCTGTTGAAGCAAGTATAATACTATTTTCTTACAGCCTATCCCAAATGATGCTTATTAGATAAGATTTTTCAGTTTCAGCAGTATTCATAATAATAATTTGCAAAGGTTTTACAGATTCATTTGAAGTTAAAGCAATATAATATCTTTCAATTCTTTCAAATATTATCCTTTATTTATTATTTAAGGTTTTACGATCAATATTTGCTTGATTATTCCTGATAATTTAAGTTACATTACTATTATCAATTGCTTGCTTAATGAAACTTTCTATTTCTTCAATTTTAGAAAATTGTGTCCAGCTTTTACCAACCCAGTCATAATTTATATCAATATCTCAGTTACCAAAAAAATTAGTTGAATTGCATTTTTGTCTATCTGGCATCATTATCCACAGCAGGTCCAATTATTACTAGGATTATCATTGATTTCTGAAAGATGACAGTTATATAAGTCTATCCATGAAAGTGTTTGATTCTTTGTTAGGCTAAGAATGTTTCTATAATAAACATGTAAAAGAATTTTACGTGACAAAATTCTTCTCACTGAGGACCATATTTGATTAGAGATGGTCATAGTCAAATGTGTATAATGTTTTCTTTGCTGTATTTTACCCACTTTTCTCTGACTAACTTATATTGCAAATACAATCTAAATAATAATATATTACTCAATTAAGTAAATTGATTGCAATATCTTTGCAAAGGTGAGGGATCTGTTTTTTTTAACTTCATTGTTCTCATTATGTTCACTGTCATGAAGCTATCGATTTATCTCTTTATTAAAATTTAAACTAGCAAAATTTCTACTACTGTGGTAAAATGGAATTTGAAAGAGGTGGCAAGTTTCCTGGGCTGAATAATCACGTTCTCTTACTATACGAATAAGCAACTTTTGGGATGCTTTAATACTTGGATTATTTGGATTATCATTATAAAAAGCTTGATCTAAAACTTCTGAAAAATCTAAAGATCGTGGCTCAGCTTTACTAGCATAGTTTAAAATATACTGTAAAGCAACATGTTGTGTAAGAATGAGCTTCAAATCTACATTTTTCTCCATTCCTGAAGTTGAATACAATCATGTGGATTTACAAGTGGATCATTTCTGATTATTGTTAACTTTAAATGACCATTATTGTTTTGAATAGTTTTTTGACTTGTTAACTCTTTAGGGAAACTAAATCTGTATTTCTATTCACCAATATTTTTGTCAATTCGTAAACAGTAAGAACCATTATATGTATAATACTTTAATTTGTTTATTAGCTTAATATAGTCTGCTGTATCATCATTGAGATTCTTAAAGCACTTTGATATGAGTAATTATTAGGAGAAGGTACATCTAGATCAGGATTAATTGTTGTAATTAAAGAATATAAGTAATGTATAATATTTTCCATTATCTTCTCACTGTCACTCATTTTTTTCCAATCAATTTCAGGTGCATCTTTTTTCTTGGCAATACCATGCATATATACACTATCATAATGCTACTATTTAAAGTGATACCATCACTTAACTAATTCCCATTTAGGTATAAGAACCTTTTCAAAAAAAAACTTTAAACCGCTTTTTAAAAATTATGCAACAATATGAAGATTATCTATAAGATCCTTATGTTAACGCCTAGTAACATCTTGATTTAATTTTACTTTTACAGTATTTTCTCTGCTAGGTATAAGGTTATGTAAATCTGGCTAATGCATATCAGCTGCATTAAATGTGAAGAATACTATTTCTTGGGATCTCACCTATTTTATCATATCTATTAATTCAGTTTTACGATATATTAATGGGTACTATATAATCCCTCACTATAATGTAACACTCAATCTATAATGTTGTTATTGGCTTTCATTAAATCTAAGATTTCAGCTACAGTAAGTTACCCTTCATCTAAATTTTGTCAGATGAATATACGATTTTCCAATAATACTCTTTATCTTATTATTGTATTTAATATAAATAATGCCATTGTAGATGACAAGTGAACTAGCCATCTTTGTAGATTAATAGGTATTTAAAGTATTCTGCTAGTTTTACTTCTTTTACTCAATATTCATAGTAGTTCACAGTACCTAAGGATAAAGTGTAGGGAATGCTTGTACTATATATCTGGGAGTATAAAACTCATCAACTGGAGTATCCTCATTATGTGGTCAATTTTTATACACAGGATGATCATATTACATTTAATGGAAAACTTCATTAATTGTATTGTTCTCATTATATCCAGTAGGTAACATAGAAACAAATATTTGCAAGATGAAATAAGCTTTATTATCTTTAATTCCATCTTTGTGTTGCTTATTTGGTCTTTCCCCTTCATAATGAACATTATTACTTAAGACCTGTGGGAGCTGCTCTGCAATTGATCTATTTTCAGGTAAATTTTACAAAATATTATTATCAATATCAATGTCATAATAGTATATATTATTAGCTTTAATCACAAAAGAGCTTGCATTACTTTTTCCTGATAAATTTTAAAGTCACGAAAATTGGATCCATTTTCAGTATAATGCTGAATAACAAGCAAATCCAGCAATGATAGATAACGTAGAAGGCAGATTACAAACTCCTGCATATTTTGTGAAAAATTAATAATATTTTCACAATATGCATACTATTCTCTAAAAAGATTATATATTGAAATGATAGGAAATATTTGTGCAATCAGCATCTGTTCTATATCAGTCAAGTTCTGAAGTTCTTATGGAACTTCACTTAGAAAAAAGTGAAAACATGTGAGTTCATCAAGTTCAAGTCTATATTAAGAAAAAATGTTTTACTCTCACCTGGATTCATATTACTTTCAATAAAAAAACTTTTAGGCCTATTTTCTTTACAGCATTGACAGCATTCTTCACTAACAAGTATAATAGATGAAAATCACTCATTACACATGATACAGAGATTATTTCTAAAATTACTAATTATATTGTGAAATTTGTGTAGAAGTTTCTGATCTGAAGTTAAAATACCTTTCATATCACGTCTTTAGCGTAAAGTTGTTCTATTCTTAAAAAGTCTTGTGATGTATTGTTAAGAAGTTTTTTTAAATTTTCTTAATAAATATTTTTTATGTGTATGAGCACACTGAGCTTCTTCTTCAGCTACCAAACTTACCTCATATTCTTTATGAGTCTCTTCAGTTACTTTACTCTGCTTATTATTTTTCTTATGTCGTTCATATGCCAAATGCATCTCATGAGCCTCTTTAGCTACTTTCTACTTCTTGTCTGTATCACATGAATGTGATGTCTTATTTTTTTTATCATTCTTTTTGAGTGAATTCACAGAAATTTGTTTTATAAATTATGTATATAAAGCATATTTTACATTATTGATTTTAAAGACAAGAAAAAGAAGTGCAATCAGAAGTGTTAAGCATTATCAGCTATCTTATCATATTGTAATTAGACATAGACATTATTAAATTGTGAACTTTATTAAATGAATTAAATGAAATATCAAGTATGAAAGAATATTTAAAAAATGTATAAAAATAAAGAAATGTTCACAATTTGATGCGTTTAACAAAAAATAAGATGATTTAAGTCGCTAACTAAGAAACATTCTTTAATATCACATGACTTTTATATTAAAATGACAAAGCTACTTGTAAATGCAAGTTGATAACCTGCTGTTTTTGGTATTATAAACGAAATATATTTTAATATTAAAGCAATTTTGTATTATTATAATTATTAAAAAAAAAATTTTATTATAATAATGATTTATAACAGATATATATATAATTAGAAAACAGAAACTGTTGTAAGTCTAGAGCATTTATTACTGTAATAAGAAATATTTTAATCAATGTTAACAATAAAATGTTTAATAATACTAGTCAACGGTTCAATGGTAACCATCCAAGACATAATTTTCAAGAAGATCAAGGATCGCCTTCTCTTTTCATAGCAGTTCTGATCTCTTTCAATAATTACAAAGGTCTCACAATCGCTAGCATAAAGAGTAAAAGAGTTGTACCCATCTCACTAATTTAATGTATCTGAAATGGTAAATCTGGAATTTCTTGTTCACATTTGCAAATTCCTGTTCGTCTTGCGTAAGCAATTACAGTTCATAAAAGTCAAGGTCTTACATTATAAAATGCCATTGTGATGGGTAAAATTTTAGATAAATTTAATTGGTAGAATATGAAGTCAATTTTATTGCCATGTAGATCTTTTATGAAGATCATTTTGTCCATTTTATTGCCATCGATCAATTATGTAAATCCTTAGATGTTAATTTTATTGCCTTTGATTATCACGTAGATCAAGATGTCCATTTAGTTGCCTGCAGATCTGGCAATTTTATTGACACGGCAACTTTATTGCCTAGCAAAATGGTAACTTTATTTCCTTCAATATATTTAGTTTAGTTTATTTTATTATTTATTCAACATGTATAAATATCTCTGTATTTTCTTTGAGTATTAGCACTGACAAGATATCAATCTTTTAGGTACTGAACTTATATATTATATCAATAAAGGAGTATAATTAACCAAGTATAAAACTTGTCCTTCGCAAACCCATTAAAACTGTTATAACTTATCTGTGACCCTTTGCATTCATGTAATCCCTTTAAATATTGTTAGTATACTTATTATATGATATTGTATTGATTCACTGTATTGGCTTGGAGTCTCTGAAGCATAATCTCTGAAATATCTTTGAGTTATCTTTGTGTTTATTTTGTATTTATTTCACGTGCTTATTATTGAGAATAATTCTTCGACATTATTATAAATCCTCACTCGTGATTCCTTGAGTAATTGTCTTAGTTTTATTTACCTTTTGAGATTTTATTTAAAGTTACGAAACCTGATGTAATACCGTAATTGATCTTAGAAATAAAGTGTTTGCTGTAAGTCTTTCTTTTGTGGCAATCTCATGAGTATGTACACTTGAAGATCTACTTTTCAAACTATTTAATTTTAAAAGACTTCAGCATATTAAAGAGTGTAAAAGACTACAAGAACGGTTAGATGAAGAAAATGCTTAGTTTCTATGATACCTGAAAACTGAGAACTCAAAATTCTATTATAATAAAATTTAAATATAAAATAATTTTTTTTTTTTTTATAATTTCTCTCACTCTTGTAATACTTTATTTTGTTTAATGTCATATTGTTTATTTATAAATATAACACAAAATCATGACATAGCACGTGCAGACAATAGGATATCAGCATATGATTATATTTGTGATCACTTTTTGTAAACATATATAGTCTTTCACTACGCTTCAGACAATAAAATAAGATTTACAAAAATGATACAAATTTTATTTATTTATATTTATATTAATACAAAAGTTAAACAAATAATAATACTATAATATTCTAATAAATTGATTGATCAATACTATGAAAACCAGAAAGTTTGTATAACATTAAAATCTGACAGACTTAAATGGTTTTCATTTCTCTAGTATATACAATGCTCACAAATAATAATATATTCAATACTTTATGTTAATTTTAGTTAGTTAGACTATGAAGATCAATTCTGGTCAGTTCACAAATGGAAAATTGATATTGTAATAGCTTTATTTACTGTAACTAAGCCAAAAGGCTTTGGTAATATAACTTAACTAAATTGAGAGACTTTGATACTTAACTAAGCTGAGAGGCTTTAGAAACGTAATTAAGCTAAATGGCTTTTATAAAGTATTTAAACCATATATTCTAAATTTAAATTCCTTTTTTATTTTAATAATAATTATATATTTTCGACATGTAGTAATCTCTCAGCTCTATTCTCAATTTCTCTTCAGTTCTACTTCAATTCTCCTAAATTTAATTAAAACTTGAACATTAATATTAAATTAAATTTTATGATAATATTGATATTAAAACATGTTTTGAACAAATTTTCATAATTAAGTTTGATAATAGTTAATTTTTGTAAATTTATATCATAACTTGTATTTGAACATTTCTACATATTGAGACTATTGACTAACTATATAAATTGTACAAAATTTTATGTACATCATTACATAATTTAAAACACTATCATTAGAGATAGAAATGGTTTAAAATGAGCAACTCAAGATCAGTTTTGAACCAATTCTATATTATTTACCTGTTACAATACATTTTATAAATATTAAAAATCTGACCCTGAACTGGCTCAAAAGTCAGTTCAATATCAAATCAGACTACTGAATTTCTTTGTAACAAATCAAAAATTTTTAATTGATATAAATCTAATGAATGGATAATTTTCAATTGGCAACATATGAATGAAAAAAAAGTAAATTTGAGTTGATAATAACATTTTTTATTAATTTGATATTTTTAAAGAACTCAATTTTAGTTAAAACATTTATTTACAATTAATTAACATAAATTCTGAATTATAAGTTTTGCATGAAAACTTGTAAAATATAAATAGCAATAATTTTCTTTTAAAAAAAAATTAAATTTATAACATATTTATAATTTTTATATAAGGTGAAAAACATTTGTGCAAATAAATCAGAATATTATCATATTTCATCAATCAAACTTTATTATCTTCTAAGAATATAGATTCGTCAACTGTATAGAATATTAATGATAAATATAATTTTTTAAGATAAATTTCAGACAGGCTTATCATGATTTAAACAGGTGTATTTATTTACTGTTTTCATATGGAATCACGTTACTTACATAACTTCAATTTTTTCAATATAAGGTCTGGGTGGAGTAGAAAATTATGTTATAATTTGAGCAAATTATCCTATTCCTTAGCAATGTAGTTTATTTTATTTTAAAGTTTATATTATAGATAAAGGTAAAAATAGGTGTGTAAAACTTTGATATATATTTTTTTATTTTAATTCAGTATATAAGTCAATTATTTAAAATTTTGCTAATTTATTCTATAGGAGAATTAGAATCAGGTCTTGCATATAAGCAGTTAGCTTAAATAAAATACCTGGTAATTTTACCTTTTAATTTATCACTGATAATGCACTATAATTAAATTAAATTAATTTATTATTTATATTACAGACTGGGAAGATAGCTTGTGAGGTTATTATTTTATTATAGGTAAATATAGACAAGCATAATTATTGACAATAAAACTAATTTATAATAAAGATTTTTTTATATATAGTAATCAGTCAACAATGAATTAGGACCAGATAGATTAATTTGTCTAAAGTTCTGATGACTTTGATTTATAATAAAAAAAACTTTAGATTGAATCTTCAAATATAATACTATAAAAATTTTTACTGGTTGAATAAGATACTAAATTTATGTTAGATTTCCTAATGTTTAAATAATATTATACTTTTTAAAGGTTTTATTATAAGAAAATATTTTACATTATCTTTAAAACAAAAAATTAATAATACTGGAATTAAATATGTTAAATATAAATAACTGTATCCCTTAGTAATAATAAATAATAAAATGTTATTTGTATGTATATTGAATTATAAGCCAATGACCACATAGTGGTAAAGGAAAACGAAATTGCATATAAAAGTGCCTTAATTTGTTTAAAAATATATTTATAATTATTTTTATTCCTATTTCGATAATAATAAAAAAAATTAGATGTCAAATCCAAGCTTTTTGAACATAATCTTAGTTCATTAACTTCGTCTTGGTGAGAAGATTCAAATGATTATTATTTTATTTTTATAAGTAAAATATTGATTAAGATATATTTATATTATAAATAAAATGGGATTTGGGATTAGGATTGGGATTTGGGATTTGGGATATGGGATATAGAATATGGATTTCAAATAAAGTATGGGATTAAGGATTAAATGGTATTCTATATAGTATGAAGTATGGGCAGCAACTATATGTGGGTAATGATGTTCATATAGCGAGGAGGAACAGTTTGAACTTGCATTCATGAAGAAATAGCATTTGTGGAATGGATTCCGGGTAAAAAAAATATTAAGGCATATTATTAGATATAATAAAATAGTTGTCGGAGGAGCCTACCCAATGTATGGACCTGCACAATTAGAAAAGTTGATGATAGCTATGAAGAATTTATCTATTGGACTAGGAAACACACTGATGATATATATAACGCTTGGATTGCTGGAGCTTTAAATTCTGCTGTTATAGTAGTTGGAGAGAACTTACTAGAAAATTTGATGAATGATAGATGGTTAAAATTTAAAAGTCACGATTATTAAAATATTGAAATAGATGTCTAAAATCTTTTCAAGATTATTAAAATGTGCATAAAATGTTGAGATCATATCATACATTTATTATGTTTATAGACAAAATATTTAACGATCTTAAAAATTTAAATCTTTTATAATATGGATATTTTTCAAATAAAATGTATTAATAAATTAAAGTTTTTTTAAAAAATAATAATAATATAATTAATGTTTATATTAAGAATGGTAAAATTAGCATACATATAATTATCAGCTGATTTTATAATGCATTAGCAAGTTTGGCCGGAATTAATCATCTGAGATACGTTAGCTATCAGTAAATACAGCATGACTAGGGTTAGTCATATAAAATGGTGACTATGTACAGGGGTGAAATAAATATTGAATAATTTTTTCGCGAAGATTTATTACATCAATTTTATATGAAAATTTATTAATTAAAGCTAAATATAGTAATTTATAATGCTTTTCTAATCAAAAATGGATTTGTTTTTATTGATAAATTGATTGTTTATTTGTTTATTTTGATTTAAATTTTTTAAAATTTTTTGGAATTTTCGCAATTTTTCGCAAAAAATGGGTCTTGCAAAAGAGATTACTTCAAAGCAAAGAGGTGCAATTTTGCATGCCAAAAACTTTGTATTATGCAAGAAAAAACTGCAGAAATTGTTGAGTGTTCTCAGACAACAGTTTCTCGAGTATTAAAAATAATCAAACTATTAATAAATGATCGGGTCATCCCTAAATAATGACTGTGCAAAACGGAAAAAATTGTCAAAAGCTGTTCTTAATAATAAAGATTCTAGACGCCAAAGTTTAAAAGAAGTTTGTCAGCTTTTTATAAAACAAAATAAAGGTGAAAAAGTATCTAAGCGAACCATCCAAAAAAGTATTAAGGATAGAAGGCATTCGATCATGTATGCCTCATCTAAAACCATTGATTTCTTCTACAAATAAAATCAAAAGACTTGCTTTCGCAGAACAGCATAAAAATTAGACAATGGCTGACTGGAGAAAAGTAGTTTGGTCAGATGAATCTACCTTTTCTCAGTTTCAAATCTCAGATTGGGGTCAAGTTTGGCGAAAGTCTAAAGAAGAATTTAATAAAGATTGTATCGCCTCGACCATAAAATACAGTCCCAAACGAATGTTTTGGAGCTGTTTTTCATGGTTTGGTTTCAGACCTATTATTTCATTAATTGGTTCTATTACTGATAAAACCCTATCGTGAAATTCTTGAAACTTATGTTGTACTAACCCTTAAAGAACAATCACAAAATTCAAAAAAAGCTTGTTTTCCAAAAAGACAATGCACCAGTGCATATAGCAAAAATCACACAAGATTTTTTTCTTTCAAGTAAAGTAGAACGTTTGTCATGACCACTTCAAAGTTCTGACCTTAATCCTATTGAAGAACTTTGGTCAATTGTTGAGTCTGGACTTCGAAAATATAAACCCAGAGCATCTAACATCTAAGAGTTAGAAAAAATAGTTATTGAAGAATTGAAGTCGATTTCTAAAGAAATATATTGAAAACTTATTAATTCAATGCCTTCTCGAATCTATGCAGTTATTTCTGCTAAGGAGGTCATACTAAATATTAAATATATTATACGAATTTATTGTAGTAAATAAATATAAATAAACATCAAATAAAAATTATTCAATATTTATTTCACCTCCCTGTACTAAGGTTAATGGAGGATATACAAAGTGGTAATAATATATTAAAAAAAATTTGTGGTGTAGTAGGTTAGCAATAAATCAAAGAATTTTATGTAATTAGTTTATTCTTTATATGCCAAAAGTATTATTCCACAAAAAAAATATATAACGCGGAATTTTTTTAAAATTTACAAATAAAGTATCAATTAAATTTAAATATATTAAAAATAAAGTCCAGACTTTAAAATTGTTTAAATTTTCGATTTTATTATTATTTAATTGCATGGGTATTATGATTTGAAAATTTTAAACGAAGTGGAACAATAATTATGGAAGTCACTGTAAATACTTCTAATGATAATGGATATACAAATATAATGTATATCATTTTATGGATACACGTATGAATTCTTCAAACAAATCAATATCAAGTTATTCATGATAAATTATCATTAATCTTATTAAATCATGATATTTTATTTTACATCTGTTAACATTTGAATTTAAAAAATTTTAATATATATACTAATTATTAAATAATTAAAGGCTATCATTCCGTTGAGAATCAAGATCTAATAGATCTGATGCGATGTATTATTAGATATACTGTAATAAAATATCACCAACTTCATAGTGGATGAATTTCCAACCTATAATAGAGAAAGCTAGTTCTTTGATTTCATCTTATTATGGCAGTATTCGAAAATAATAAGGTTATTTAACCATTTAAATTATTTGCCCAATCATTTGTTATTAATCCTAATTTTTTGTTATTTGGTCATTTCATTCATTTGATTTTGATTGTTTGATACCTATCATATGATTCTAATTGAAAAGTAAAAAAAAATAAAGCAAATGTAATGCAGGTTAGAACTATAGTATTGGCTAACATTACATTCAAATAACTCAGATCATTTGTCATTTGAGCAATGAAATGACATGTTATTTATTATTTGTTATTTGAATCATTTGTCATTTCAAGTCATTTGCTGAATACTGCATTATAGCCCCACAAGATATAGTTTTGAACTAAAAAATGTATATTATCTAGACTTAAAATATTCTCATTTTTCTAACAAATGTTATTATCTTATTATTTGATAGAGAATGTGATATTCTAGAGAGACAGCTTGTGTTGTCTTGATTCTAAAATGTCAAACTTATTAGTTTTGAAGGTAATGATACTATTCTTGAAAGACTATTTAAGAGCTAAGTTTATTCTTTAATTCAATAGCTAATAATAGTCTATTTGATGAAAAATTAGACTTAATTATGCAGTTGTATTTAAAGAAATAAAATCTTTTATTTTAGATTTTAGCTTTAGAATAACATCTACCTTGAGTATTATTCTGTTTCTAAAGAATCCTGTGATATAATTTCTTCATTATTACTATCATTAAAATTGGTAATATTATTTTTATTATTAATATTATAATTTTTAAGAGTTTAGTTTTGTAATGATAAAAGAGATCAAATATTTGTCTTTTTTATAACTTCTTTTACTTTTACTTTGCAGATTATCAATATTTAAGATAAAAAAAATAAGAATCAACTATTTCTTATTATTATATAAGAGATAAGCTATTAAAATTAGGTTATATGATATTTTTAATCAAATAAGATTTTTAAATTATATTATTATATGATATATAAATTTTATTGGTATAGTTGATTATTTTATAAATAAAGCAAGCAATTAAGCTATCAAAATTTTTATTTCTTTATATAAAATTTTTCAAAAAATCTAAAATTAAATTAAGAAATAATTAATGAAAAATTAGAAAATAATCATTATTATTATTTAAAATAAATTTTAGAATTTTTTAAAATATAAAATTTTTTATTGATAGTTTAATAGATATTTGAATAAAATTCTGAAGATATCACTAAAAAAACATTTTATTGAAAATACTTTTTTTTTTAAAAAAAAATTAAAGATAATTAAAAAATAATTAAATATTTTAATTAAAATATTTTTAAAATAGTGATTTAAAAAATAAATCTAAAAAATAAAATTAGTTAACATAAAAAAACTGTAGATATTAATTAAAATCTATTATTTGAATTTTAAATATTTTTAATAATTTTTAAATTAGTTTTTATGAATAATATTCTTATAATTATAAAGAATTATAAAATAATTTTTATTAATAATCATTATTGATATTACTAATTATTAATAAATAAATTATAAATAAATTATTTATACTTTTAATTTATTTAATAATTAATAACTTACAATATTACTAAATTTGATTAATAATAATTAACTACAAAAACTTTAATATGTGATAATAAAGAATCTACAGTATAATATAAAGAAAAATAAATATTAAATAAATTAAAATAAAAATAAAAAATAAAAATTTATAAATAAATTATAATATCAAATTTAGTAAATAAATATTTTAATAATCCACTTATATTATATTTAAATTGAAAATTTCTATAAACTGATCTATTTATATTTCAATTTTTATTTAAAAGTTTTATTTATTCTTATTTTTAATATTCTTTTATCTCAGTTTTAATTTTTTTAATTTTAAGCTAATTTATAAATTACATTTAAGATTACTAAAATAAGTTTAGCAGTATTATATACTATATATTTTATAATATAAATTCCTAAATTAGTTAAAAATTATTATTAGAAGCTAATTTTATATGATAATATAAAAAATTTAATTATTTTTATAATTTAATTATATAAATAAATTATAAATAAACATTTTTTATTTTTTTATGATTTATTATCTTTATTTTCTTAATAATTTTTTTTTTAAAAAAATTGTTTTGCAACTTTTATATTTCTTATAATTATTAATAAAATTATATAAAATATTCACATAATGAATTATTAAATATAGAAGATGATAAAATTAATAATAAATAAATTTTATTAGATAATAAATTATAACTATATTATAAACTTAAAATTCATTTATTAAATAATTATAATAATAAAAAAATAAAATTATTAAATAATAAAATAAATATGTATTATTTTATAAACTTTATCATTTATGATTATTTCATTTGCTCAAAACATTTATAGTTATAAATTTATTAATGAATATTTTATTATTTTAAAATTAAAATAACTATTCAAAATTTTATAAAGATTAAAATATATTAATTATAATAATGAAAAAAACATTTTTATATATATAAATTTGTTTATTTTATTTAGAAAAATGAAAAATATTATTAATCTAATTAAGAATCATTTAATAAACTTTTTAGAATTATAATTATTTAGAATTAATGTTATATTTATCAAATCTTTTTAATATATTTAATTATATTTTTGTAATTTCTTTAATTCAATTATATAGAATTGAAGGATATATTAATATTATTAAATTGTTTATTATATGTCTTTAATTAAAATAATTCATAAAAATACTAAAACTGAAATAATTCTTTAACAATCACTTTGATAAACTATATGTAAATAATAATATATAATATTAAGTATAAAAGAAAAAATAATAGAAAAAATAAATATAAATTTAGTATTAATAAATATTTATTATATAGTCAACTCTTGATATAGCGAACTCTTGATATAACGAATTTTTTGAACAAATATAATAAAAATACTCATGTTATAGTGAATTGGCCAATCAAATCTCTTAAAATCTTCACTATAACCTTATTGCGAAGTTGAGGTCTAAGACATAGAGTTCGTTATAACAAGAGTTGACTGTATTGACTATTTTATCTTTATAATTTAAAAAATTAAATATACTTGACAAATAAATACGATAACTTATTTTCAGATTTTTATATAGATATTAACTTCTTTTTTATAATAATAGTAAGTATTAAATATGTATTTAGTGAGTCTATTAGATGAAAAAATAATGATAAATCAATTCAAATAGTTTGAAAAATAATCATGTGAGATAGCTAATAACTTTTTGTTATTTTTGTTTATTTTTACTTTTTATATTTTATATTACAATTAATAAAATTACAGTTAATACTACATCATTAAAAAAATTATTAATAATAAGAATATTACAAAAATCCGGTTATATATTCATCTTAAAAACTTTATTAAAAATAAAAATATTTATTATTATAGTTTGTAAAAAGGTATAGCTTTTTATATTCAAAAATATTTTTATATAATTAATATAATTATTTTTATTTATAAAATCTTTTTAAATTATATAAATTAAGTAACTATTAAGATATCTTTATTTATAAATAAAAAATATGAATTTATATGCAAGCCTTTCTTTAAAACTCCATCTATAATAATGAGAAAGTACACTTTTATCATAAACTGATTTATTTTAAAGAATATTATAACATTTATATTATAAATTAAATTTATCATTATATTTTCTTGCTGATTATAATAACAAAAAAAAAAATAAATAATCATTATAAAATGCATTTAAAAAATTAAAAATTTATAAAAAAATTTTATTTGTTTATGTGTATATTCAAGACTCTCTAAAGAGTATCATAACTAAAAAGATGGTCTAGCCACAGCTATATTAAGATTGTGATTCTCATATATAAATCATGTATATGAAATCTTAATTAAATAAATCTTTTATACATCCATATTTTGTAAATTGTAAAAAATTCTAAAACAACAAATATATTAATATTAAGTAGATTTGTTATTTCTCTATATTATAAGCTAAATATCATATTTGGCATATAAAAGTAAAATTGATTTTTTTCTGGTAGATTCCTCCTTTATATTGCAAAGTTCGCATATATTCTTGGTTTATATGCAATTATATATATTAATTTTTTTTTAAACCCTAGTAACAATCAAAATTTTCCGAGTTTTCTTAGATTTTGCCGTAACTCATGGGGCTTACGACCATCCCTTTGGAAACGGAATTACAATATAGTCAGGTAATAAAGCACTATCTAAAGGAAAGATTAAGTAAATATTAAATTCTGCTACCATTTTTCAAGGTAATAAAAATGTTAACGTAATGATCACCAACTGTGGTATATTAAAAATTGATTCTTTATTGTCAATATATCAATTTCAAATAGTTTGTGTAATAATCTATAAATTAAATTTTTTTCTCAGCTAGGCCTGTTTAAATGGTTAAATTAAATTAACCGTGAAGTTTTGACAAAATTATATATCAAAATCAAGCAAAGGAAATTCTTGGCAGTGATAAGATGTTAAGGAATATTTATCCATCGAAGTAACAAATATTATTACACGATCTATTAGGATTTTGCGTAATTTAATGTATTGATATTTGTTTAATCATACCTGATATTTTTTATGCTAATCAACATTATATTAATATTGGTATACGCACTAATCCTAATAGACAGTATAATAATATTGTTATTGAACGGAGCTATATCGGTCTCGACTGATATTTTAACGCCCCGTTAATAACATACAATTACCGTATATTATATATTGTGAAAGTTGTGACTTTACTGATGAACGAGAAGAATATGACTTATACATAAAAGTCAGGAATATTTGCCGTTGGTTGAGATGAGTATAGAAAGATGTATATGGGTTTGAGAATTCCAGAGAATCACAGTTGATTATTATTAATACTTATGGCGCAGCATATTATGACTTTAAAACTAAATGTTTTCATCTATTCTAATTAAAAAAATTTGTAACGTTTAGCTTACCTGTATAAGAAAAACATTAAATGTGTAACGTTACAGAAATTTCAAAAAGGAAATTTTTTCTCCCTCAAAATTGTTCGCACAAGTCTCCATTTATGGAAATTTGTGTATCGTCACGAGATTTAATCCCGTTGCAAGGCAAAGGGCAACAACTATTAGAAAATTAAAAAAAAAAATAAAAATAAAAAATAAATTCAAGTGAAAAACCTAATTAAATTTATTATATGAATTTACCGATCGAATGAAAATAAATTCTGCAGGTCAAATCAGAGATAAATCGAATCAATATAAAAGTGATCGGCGTGTATGCAAAGTTTATTTGGCAATTCACGATCAATAATGGCATTTTAGGCCTAATCTTTTTGTTTCTGGAAAGGGCAATTTTCTGTGTAACTGTACGAACCTATTAATTTAATCCGGTTTTCAGGAGTTATAAAATTCTGTAATAGTAAAAGAATTAAATTTTTTTTTTTTTTTTATCTTTTCGTAATATCGAACTTGTTATGCAAATTTCCAATACTAACCAAGTCCCGGATAGTTTTGGTAAGAATTATTTGATAATTATGAAATAAAGAGAAAATTATTATTTCACAAGAGAAAAAAAAACTAGCAACAAGAATTTTCAATAATTAGTGAGCGACAAAAATATCGTGAACATATAAAGAATATGTTTCTTGTTACCAACATTATCATAGGACAATGTTGAATAAATCGGAAAATTGAAAATGTATAATTCTAAAATAAAAAACCCTATACTCAAATATTTCAAAGAGTTTCAGACGGATATAAGCGGCTCAATTATCCTTGTCAATCCATCGACGACGTCTGCGCCAACGAGTGGAATTGAAACTAATAACGTTGCAAACCAACAACCACCAATTGACTTATTTCAAAAAGACCTTTCTAGGCCTTCATATGAAGAACTAGGAAAAGAACAATGCGGCCAACAAGATGATGAAAATATTCACAAGTTCCAGGCTAATGAACCTTTATCCAATGAACATCAAGAACTGAATATATCAGAAAACGTAATTTCAACCGGTAGAGACCAACTAATGAATACAACCATGTTCGATAACATTATAAATGACTTTGAGATGCAAACAAACAAATCTACCCAAGATTTGATTGAACATATTCCTGGTTTATATCGTTTATTAGACTTATACAAAGATGATGGTTCGAATGGTCTTGGTATGTTTCTTTACAGTTTTGCGAATTTGGATTTGAATATAAAAGATTACTCACCAAAAGTATAACATAATTTTTAGTCGATAAAATAATTATTTCAAAGGATTTTCTAAAGAAACTATGCGACAATATGGCTCCATCAAGTTATAAGTCAATTTCTGAGATCAATTATACAAAATTGAACTCAATTTCTGTTCGCCTTATTGGATGCTACGGAAATCGCCGTTTAATTGCAAAACTCTTATTGAATTTAGAGATTATTAATCAACAAATGTATGTAAGATCCTAGATGAAAAAATTATTCAATAATCATAGTCAGATTTTAATTTGGTCTTTTATTTAGATATGAATTGCTTATAGCCTCGCAGCCTTCTTTCGACTACTCAAATAAACCTTTTTTACGTCCTGGTATTTACTTACTGATTGTGAATCCAGACTTTGGTTTAGTTATTCATTGGCCCGAAGTAGGATGTTACGAGGAAAATACTCCTTCACAATGTAAAAAGAATATGACTAACCTACATAGGTATTATCTATTTATTCAGCAGGCTAATTCTAAATGTTTAAATTTTAATTAAATTTTAATTTACAAAACTTATAGATATTTGACAAAGGTTACCGAGCATCAGCTTTGCCTTATGAGTGATGAAGATTTAGAAAGTTTTGATTGGAATTTATACAATACCGATGTTGATTCAGACGACGATAAAGGGTTTTGTGAATTTGAAGTCAAGAAAAGTCAGGAAGTACAGGAAGACTTTAAAATCTATCCCGGCTTTAAGGTTTATATTTAAAACGTATTAACGTTGTATAAAATATAATGTATTAAATACTTTTTCAATCATTAAGGTGGATTTATCCGATAAAATAAAAACCGAAATACAAAATACTCATGAAGATGGTGTACCCTTGCATCCTATTGGTAATAATTTATATTCTGTGAAATGTACTAATATTTAAAATTCAATTATTTAATCTACTATTATTATGATTTAGTTGTTGAATCTGCTACAAATCAATCGTTTGTTACTCGGAGATTAATAAAGGAGACTTCTATTTTGCAAAATTTCTATTTAAGAGCCTATGGATCAGAATTATCACAAGAACTTCAGTCCAGATTACAGGGACGACGACTATATATTGATCGTGGAAGTATGACGATGAAATCTTTGGAAATTTTGATTATACATGGATTAAAAATGGAGGATGAACTTTTGGAATCATTTCGTAGTGAAATACAAACTGCAAAATTACAGAATGAAGAAAAGAAGAAACAAAAAATTGAAATTATGAAAAAGGATAGTGAAAAAATTTCAAATTTAGCATGGAATAAATTATATGATCGTTATAGGTATATATATATATTTCATTTTTTTAAAAGAAAAATATACATATTGTTGATACTTATGTTTTATCAGGCCTTTTGAAGAGTTTGAAAGAAATCTCTCGAAAATTTCTCCTTCACGAGAAAATATATTTGATATAAGCGATAAAGGTTAAGTATTTTTATCATTAAAGTTTATTTATAATTATTTTATTATTCTAACTTTATTAATTTAGATTTAGAAAGTACCCGTTCAAAATATCCTGATAAGGAAGGTCAAATTGAAGATGTAATTAATAAAATCAATTCCAAAAATTGGAATAAATTGAAAAGTCGATATATTTTAACTTCGACAATTATTTTTGATATATTGGAAATGAATGAAGTATCTGCAAGTCAGGTTTTTTATGATATGTTCAAAGAATCTGAAAGTCATAATATGTTCAAGGAACCTGATGATAAAAATCAAACACTTTTTTCACGATTCTCTGTTAAAGGATTTAAAGAAATATCGTTTATAAAATTTGTATCTGACATTATTAATTCCAAAAATTTGCTTAATATAAAATCTGTGCAAGACCTTATTAATTCCAAAAATCTGACAGATATTAAATCTGTTCAAGAATTGATTCATTTCAAAAATCTTTCAGATTATACAACATTACAAGACCTTATGAATCTCAAGAATATATCAGATGAAATATTTGTGCGAGATCTTATTAATTCATCATACCTTGGAAAGTACAAAAGTGAATTAATAATTATTTTCTTAGAAGAATACAAAAAATGGAAAGTTACCTTGTATAATGAAATTCAAAAACTCCTGCCGAAAGATTCTCTCATTCAATTATCACTTCAGTTAAGGGAAGAATTTGAGCTAGAGAAACTAAAGATTGAATCTCGTGAATTTGAAAGGCTTTGCAATATAATTGAAGAAAAGTATCAAAATAATGGGTAAGTCTATATTATCTAAATATTATATTGATTAATCGGTATCAAATAATTTTTCTTTTTTTTTTTTGTAAAATATTCAATAGAAATTTGCGGATGAATATACAAAGTATAACAGGTGATTATTTTTAAAATTTTATAAGTAATTAATAACAAGTTTTTTTAACATTTTTTATATTTTTAGTATTTAATTCATGCTCTAATGATTTGGCTAGGATTGATAATACTTTCTTTTTCAAACATGAGCTTGAAATAATTGAACCAACGCAACTTCAAATAACGATTTGTGAGACATCATTAGATCAATCAGATATCTTTCATTTACATAATGAAGAGTTATATATTCCAAATCCAATTTTGCTTTCTTATAATAATTACATTGGTCAATATGACGTTAATTTTCAAATTGATCCTGCAATTTACGATTTCAGGTAATAATTTCATGTTCTGGATTTTCTTAAATTTTTTTTTTCATATCTGACAATATTTACAAATCTCAGAAAAATAGCCCAATTTGATAATCGCAAATTTCTTCTCGTGCTTTACAATAAAAAAAACCAAAAAATCGAAATTTTCTTTGACACAGCTCAACGGCTAGCAAATAATTTCAGATCATATTCAATTAAATATTTTAAAACATTGAATACAGATGAAAATGTACTTATTGCAATTAATGAGCCAAAAGAACTAATCGCTATATATGATACAAAAAAAGTTTTGGTATGTTAAATGTTCCTTGGGATTTTATTGTTTTTTATACTTTTAAAATACATAAGACTGATTAAAATTATTTATAAAATAGTTGAACGTATACTCATTTAGTGATGAACAAAAATATTTATATGCTCGAAATCCAAATATCCAGCTACTTCAATGGTATAATAATATGGTCCCAAATCTTCAACATTTATTTTTTATTAAGGGTACCGAGGATCTCTGCTTTGTTGAACAAGGTGGTAGGGCACGTATTTTCA